TGTAGGAGCAGGGGAGATATGGGAAATCTCTGTACCTTCCACTCAATTTTTTTGTGAACCTAAAACTGCTTTTTAAAAAATATACTAAAAAAATATTAAAGCATAAAAAAGTTGCTAAAGGTATGACCTAATAAATGAATTCGCAGAAATGCAAGCGAGAAAAATTTTATCATCAGTCAAGATATCACATTAATAAAGTACTACTACTTTTTGTATTGTATAAAATTCGGACACCAAAAATAACATTTCTGTAGGTTTGTTTTGTTACTTATGTATCACAATTACACATAATACATTTTAGAAGTAGTAAAATATTTTTAAAGAAAAAAATAACTAAGAAAGTGATTACAAAACAAGAATAATTTCTGGTTATATTATTTTTATTGGTCATAGAGCCAATATATAGATGTTTAAATTTTTTTACATTAATGTACAAGGATATATAATTTGGTTTATTAGAAATTATTGTTGAAAATATTTTAATACTATAGTTCCTGTCATTCCACCAATAAAACAAAACCTTTCTCATTTGATAAATATTTCAAAAATATATAACAAATTATTTGAGCATTCTTTCTCCTCTCAAAAGCGTGCTGTCACCCTATTTTTGAAGACAGTTAAAAGAATTCTATTTCTGAACACTGTTAAGAAAAGTAGGGGAGTCCCAGCAGAGTTTTGAGCAAAGGCAATGGAATAAACATGGCATTTCTGAAAAGAGACACTTGAAAAGGCCGAACACTCGCTTAGCATACCCAGCATAATGTAAAAAGGAAAAAGAAACTATTCAATTGATTCAGTTCATTTGTAAAAGGAGTTTTCCCAAAGTAGACCACCAACAAACCAGTCTATGTGAATCACTTGCAGAGCTTTGAACCCTGAACCCAGCATTCTGAGAGTGGGACCCAGACATGTGCATTTTAAAAGATTCCCCAGGAAATTCTGATGGGGAGCCAGTGAGCCTGCTGAACCAGGTGACTACTGACATCTCTTCTTTGAATGACTTTCGACAATCCCACAAATGTCTGCTCGACGGTGTCCTGAAAGAGCTGGGTCATGGCTCTCATTACACACTACTGAGCATCTGTTGTGTGCAAGACACCAGGCTGTATCACACTTCGTCCGGACCTCATGTGTCTTACAGTACGGTGATGGGACGTAGGTGTTCTACACTTGCCTATAGGCTTCTCTTCTTTCCTAATGAAGCTCCCACTCATCCAAACGTCCTTTGAGGAGGAAATCTGTCCAACTTACTCCACTGCAAAAGCTGGAGAACTGACAAGATTCTTCCTGACCACTTCAATGGCTATGATCATAGGCAGTACTGTGATTTACATTTGCAAAATGAGGAATAAAGCTGGAGACATTTCCAGTACTAGAAATGGTCTGTTTGTAGCATGAAGGAGTATACTCATTTCTTTTTCTTTTTTCATGTCCTTTAAACATTTGTTATATTTTTCTCCTGTTAAACAGCTATATAGGCTTAATACAAAGAAGTCTGAAAACACAGAAAGGTAAAAAAATTAAATGAAATTAAGATCATCTGAAATACACCAAGAGCAAGTTAACAACTGTGAGCATTCTGGTTTGTATATTCTTGCAGTCTTATTTAATTAACTGCATTTATGCACTTTAAAAAAACAAAAGTAGAATTATATTGTATATATGGCTTTGATGTCTTAAAAATTAACATTGCGAACATGTGCAAGGAGTGTTTCTTAAATTGCTCTTTCCATTGTCACTTTTACTGGAGATTAAAGTCTCAAAGTAGATTTTTTGACTTAGCAGAGGGAGAGCTGAGATGTCTCATTAAAGCTTGGCTGAGCGCCTTCTGTTACTGCTTATTTACATAAGTAGCTTTCGTAAAATCAACAGCTCCCACGAACAAGACATATACATTAATGCCTCACAGTCCAATACATGATGAGACAAACAACCACTGCTTCCTAATATAATGCGCACACAGCAAACATTGCCTGAGATGAGTCAGCTGTTCTGAAACGTAAGATTAGGAAATTAAATTTCATGCATACATTTCCATGAATCAAAAGTCAAAATCAAAGGACAACCTTCTGTGTTACAGTGAACTCTGGAAGTGAGTGTAAATAAGATAATAAGATATGCCCTACTTTGTTGTCATCTTTTTTTTTCTTTTCTTTTTTTTTTGTTGTTGGTTGTTTGTTTGTTTTGAGATGGAGTCTTGCTCTGTTGCCCAGGCTGGAGTGCAGTGGTGCAATCTCGGTCCACTGCAACCTCCACCTTCTGGGTTCAAGCAATTCTCATGCCTCAGCCTCCCAAGTAGCTGTGATTACAGGCGTGTGCCACCATGCCTGGCTAATTTTTTTGTATTTTTACTAGAGACGGGGTTTCACCATGTTGGCCAGGCTGGTCTTGAACTCCTAACCTCAGGTGATCTGCCTGCTTCAGCCTCCCCAGGTGCTGAGATTACAGGCATGAGCCACTATACCTGGCCAGATATGCCCCACTTTGAACAAACACTGCTAGAATCAGGAAGAATCTTCCGTTAGCCAAGGATTGCTTTTGAGGTTCACTCCAAAAACTGAGCTACCACTGGGGACGAATGGTCTCATAATTTTGAGTGTAAAGTGCAACGATTCCAGCTCATGAGCACCAATATAATTTTTGAAAACAATACATCCACAACAGGCATCATCTAGAAAACTAACAGGATCTCTTTTCCACTAGAGTGTAATGTTGTTGACTAATTGCTTCCAGTTATTAAGCTGGAAGAGACATGCTGGGGAGAATGTTTTGGAGGAGCAAGTAAGGGCAGAACACAGAGAACCAGGTAACTTAATTATTTCTCACCTTTCTCTTTCCTTTGTAGTTAATTAGCAAACATTCCTTTCTCCACCTTATCTCTTTGTTGAGGTCATATCAGCAATTATCTGCCCTTCGGTTTATGCAAAACTACCTGAATAACTCATAATGCAGAAGAGCTTATCAATTTTCTTCCATGTCCTGTTGCCCAAAAATAATCAGCAATGAAATATCTCAAACATACAGAAAAAGAAAAGTAAATAACCCACCTAGATTTATGAGCAGTTCACTCTCTACCATACATGCTTAATATATTTTTAGTAAAGCTCTTTAGTCATCACTGCCACATTTACAAGGGTACTTGGCCTTTTGCTGTAGCTTGTCTTCTGAACATATTTTTGCATGTAAGTCTTTTACATATTTCTCTGAAGTGGTTAGAAATCCATCAGCTCGATGGTCTTTATTGTTTCAATATGGCCCAATCCACAGGGCAGAGCATGTGACTGGTGTAGTGGTTGCTGCATGGCTTTGAAGTCACATGGATTCGAGTTCCAATCCCTATCTACTAGCTGAGCAAATGTGGTCAAGGGTCTGTGACTGAAATTCTTATTGATAAAGCAGGGATAACAATACCTACCTTGCTGTCGAAATGTCAGGAGGTGATGTAAGCAAAGCATCAGAACAGTACCTAGCACATAGTAAGTGGTTATCATCAGCTTGTGTGTCTGCTGTATATGCTGAACTGCTTGAGCCCATCTCCAATTGAAGCTGTATTTACCAGGATCCACTCAACCACTATCCTGATCATTAGCAGCTCCTTATTTGTGGACTCATGAATACAAGTCACTTTCATCTGCGGGGCTTCAAACTTAGCCCAGTGAAATGGCAGTCTGTTTTATTTTTCTAAATACCTGGAGGCGACTTTTTCCCTGCCTCTGACTTTAAAAACATAATGAATTTTACAGAGTTTTATAGCACTGAACTTTATGTAAAATCAAAAGAGCCTGTGAAATAAGAGAGCAGTTGGTTACAAGCAAGCCCCTTCATGAACACGGGCATTTTTTTTAACATGTTTGTATCTGTGAGCATCTCCTTCTCTTCCTATCCTTAAGTTTATTATTTGTCATGAAAACAAAGTACTCTTAAAACATTGTGTTTGAGTCCATGGTTTCCAACAGTGAGCTTCAAACTCACCTGTGGTGCTTCAGATTATAGATTTGTATACTTTGGTTTAAAATGAATATTATAAAAATTTATGTTTAAAAATATGTGTGTGTATACATACATAGCTACATACACCCAAGCCTCATATGTGCATGTGTATACATAACATATACACATACATACATACACACACACCACCACCACCAAAGCCCCACTAAAAAAATACCGCAATCTCTGGGAGTAATGGGGGCAAACAGGAGGAGTTAATGTTCTACCCAGGTAAGACTACTATGGACCCAATGTTGAGAATCACAATGGGTTTATTACTTGAAACACTACCTATCTAAAGGACAGTTAAAGACTTTGGTATTAATCAGAAAGTCTTTTTTTTTTTCTTAAATAATTTTGTAGGCAAGATGCTGCTGTTACAAGTTTTCTGTTACGAATTATGTCTTCCATAGGAATGAAGCATCCACGCGGTCCATCCAAGCATACTGTGAATCAAAACATACGTTCATAGCTGGAACGAAAGCATTGGGACCATCTAACTGGATTCCACTGGAATGAGTCTCTGTGAAACCATGCCGAAGTCTTTGTAAACAACCACCCTAAAGAAAGCTACATGAAAAATAGCCAATAACAAAAGCACTGGATTTAACTCAACTTTGTAAAAACACAAAAAACACAAATACGATGCACACACTTCATCCTTTTGTGAACAAAATGCCACCAAACATTTGAAACTGGCCTAAGGCTACACTGACATGAAGCCCAGCCTTATTGACCAGCGTTTCCAATACTCTCCCCCCACCCCCATTCTTTATTCCCAACAGATACGTCTTCTCACAGGTAGTTAATTAGCAAACATTCCCATCTCCACCTTATCTCTTTTTTTAATTTTATATTTATCTCTTTTTTAAAATATTTTTTTATATTTATATATATTTTTATATTTATCTTTTTTTTTTATTCCCAATAGATACGTCTTCTCACAGGTAACTGGGCAGAAAAATGCTTATTGACTGATCTTGAAAACTATAATGCATCTAAAGCTGGAGAACATTAAAAAACCATGCTTCTCTTTATTTATTTCAGTTTCCATGGCAAGAGGAAAATAAAAGGCAACTCTGTTTGAAAGCAACAGCAATAAACAAAGCAACATCTCTGGCAAGCAGGCAAAACTTAAAGAGTAAAAGTTATAAAGCCCCAGGTAGACAATGCTACCTACCTTCCCCCATCCATGGGGATGACTCTTAATGGCGCTGACTAGGTATAGACACCAATTTGAGACCAAGAAGTTATTCTTAGAAGGTGCTAACTTTTATATTTTCTTTTAGGTTCTTGCTGTTAAGTTTCTCTTTCAACTGACTTCAGAAATCAGACAGTGAAATCAATGGGGTTTTCCAGGCCACCAAATTCAAAGTAATCAGGGCAGGGTCAGAATGCTGGTTGACTTTTTTCAACACACAGGGACCTGGAATTGGGGTTCCAGGTCTATCTCTCAGCACAGAGTCAGCAGATACAATGCCCTAGATGGTTGGATTTTCCAGTGTCTGTGACAGGCATCTTCAAAGCTGATTCCTCTCCCTCTGAAAAATCAAGGCCACCACCTTTAATTACTGACACAGTAGTGTACTTCCTGTACTGCAACCTCAGTTCCTTTTGTCACTTTTGCTTTGCATTCAAGTGCCCTGGCCAGTGTTAACTGCAGCACTTTGATTTCTCTTTCTATAAAGACTATCAATACCAACTCATTTGTTTCTGCAACCATGTAACCCAAGGACATATTCTCCTGGGTGAAACTCTAAGATCCCCCTCAGAAGTCAGTGGAGAATAGGCACAGAAAAGACGATGAGGGTCATAGTTTCTAATAAGTTGTTTTCTTTTTTTAAAAACTTTTAATTTTTATTTTTTTGAGACAAGAGTCTCACTCCGCCACCCAGACTGGGGTATGGTGGCGTGATCTCAGCTCACAGCAACCTCCACCTTCCAGGTTCAAGCGATTCTCCTGCCACAGCCTAGCTGGGATTACAGGCATGCGCCACCACGCCCAGCTAATTTTTTGTATTTTTAGTAGACACGGGGTTTCACCATGTTGGCCAGACTGGTCTCGAACCCTGACCTCAAGTGATCTGCTTGCCTTGGCCTCCCAAAGTGCTGGGATACAGGCATGAGCCACCGTGCCCAACCAGTTTTCTTTCATTTTCTTTTTTTCTTTTTTCTTTCTAAGGGAGGGGATTCCCTCAGTGGATTTACTTAGAGTGAAATGGTATCTTGGCTTTGGACTTGCCCCTGCCTTCATTCATGTGGGTACTTTTTATTTAACATTTTATTGTAGGTGGGCTCCCCTCTACCTAAAAAACCAAAGGGAAAAAACCCAATTCTTTAATTTACTCACATCCTGTTACACTTTCACAGGCTGTTCATTTTCATACCAGGCCTCATCTTCTGTTGCCAACATCCTAGTTTGAAGGAAAGGGGGAGACAGGTCAACTGGAAGTGGTCCTGACCTCAAAGGGAGGGAACTCCTGGGTACCTCTTCCCAGCAGTCCTAGGCTATTTCAAAATGTCAGCAGGTCTAATCCTAGAAGAAAACACCACTTACTTCTCAACCTGCTGGGGTGCGGTGAGGTCTAAACAATACTAACTGACAAAATCTGCCAGTTTCTGAGAACTGCCAGAGAACTGCCTGAGAACTCAGAGATAAACAGTAAGAGGTATGGTCAACCTTCAGGGGAATGAAGAGACTATCTCGATGCAACAAAAATAAAGGAATAATGTGCTTTGCAGCTTTAGAAAGAACTCTCCTTCCTGCGGGTGCCTCCGTGTCCCAGGCTCTAGGAGGCTACCTAACCAGCAAGGTTGATAGCATGACCCTGGCTCCACTGAAAACTTGGGCCTATAGGCTGGCTTATTCTAAAGGGTGCTTTTTAATTCTAAATTTTTTTTTTAAATTTTTAATTTTTTTTTTTTTTTGAGACAAGTTCTCGCTCTGTCGCCCAGGATAGAATGCAGTGGTGCCATTTAGCCTCACTGAAGCTTTGACCTCTCAGATTCAAACAACTCTCTCGTCTCAGCCTCCCGAGTAGTGGGGACTACAGGCATTCACCACCATGCCCGGCTAATTTTTTGTATCATATTATTATTATTTTTTTGTAGAGACAGGGTTTTGCCATGTTGCCCAAGCTGATCTTGAACTCCTGGGCTCAAGCAATCCACCTGCTTCAGCCTTGGAAAACTGCTGGGACTATAGGTGTGAGCCACCGCGTCCACCTGAACCACCAATCTTTTAATTTTTTCAGCTCCAGCTGGCGAACCCACTACCTGCTCTTCTTAGGCAGCATCCCTCGGTCACTATTCAGCCATCTGCTACTGCCAAAGCAAAAGTCCATGGCCCTCAAAGGGTGGGAGCTCTGGCTATTGGCCACTTACCATTTTGCCTTCTGAAATCCTTGTATTTCTTTCTGAATTCACACACTCAGAATTGGCAGTATATTCTTAAGCTATAAAGTCCTCCACTATATGCCCATCCCAAAAGCCTGAGTAAGATTATTTAATCTAAGAAATGGTTATTTATGGAAATCTGATCTTCTCATTGCCCAATAACCACGGAATACTGAAGAGTTGCCTCAGATGGCAGGGAGCCCGCATGCTAGCTCACACACTATCCCTAGTAGCCATTTAACTTTGGGAAAAGACCTGTTTTTTCTCTGGACTTTAGTTTTCTCCTCTTTAGAAATGAGAAGCTGGTTAGCCAATCAGTCATGTCTATGTCTCTTTCAGGTATATGTTCTACGCTTTGCAAGTGCAAAGTTGACAATCTGAGAATTTGTGCATGCCAAAGGGGCTTAAAAAATCATAGTACCTAACACTTAAGCGCTTGATGTGTATTAACTCATTTAATCCTTCAATAACCATATGAGGTAGGTGTTATAATTATTACCCCTATATTTTAGATGAGAAAAGAAGAAATAGAGAGAGGTTGAGTAACTTGACCCATTATCCGGTAGTTTTAAGGATGGGGTTTGTATTTTTAACCACCATATGCAGGATAATGGGCAGATCTGAGGACTAAGCTTCCTTGACGTTTGCATGCTTAGAAGGTTTCAGAGGGAGTGTGAGAATCACAGTTAATCTGCCAATCAACGGTATTTACAGAAAACCAGGACTGGAGCCAGAGAGTGTCCTCACTGTTACCTGTTGGATTCTCTTGGCATTATTTAGTGCACAACATTACTATAGAGAAACACAAGCACTTTTATGGCAATGGTGTAAATTAGGAGGATTCTGACAGTAAAGCCCAGAGTCGCTCCAAGATAAAACCATCAGTTTGGGATCTCTTGGCCACCTACTGACCTGTCAGTGTATTGAGGCAGTTTGGGGTGGGAAGTACGTCAAATGATACTTGAGGAGGGAATACAAGAGGCCAGGCAGAGTGACTTACTTATTATTTATTTATTTATTTTTGGTAGAGACAGAGTCTCGCTATGTTGCCCAGACTGGTCTCGAACTCCCACCTTGGCTCCCAAATTACTGGGATTACAAGTGTGAGCCATCATGTCCAACCCCAGAGAGTGACTCTTGACTAGTTTGGAGAAATAAACCGACTTCAAGGATCTTCAAAACACAGCCACTTGGAAGTCCTGACTGCCCTTCTCTGATCTCCAGCATGCGCCTCTGCAGAAGCAAGTGCCTTTCACTGAGTCTGACCCTAGCTGAGTGAGATATTTGCAGAGGAAAGGACAACATTCTTATTTTTTTCCTGAAACCAAACAAGAAAACCAGGAAAGTTGCTTGCTAGTCTACTACAGAGAGGTAGTGATGAGAACTTGTAATACTATCTAGATTCTGAGCTCATTGCTCTAGGGCCCAGGGTCCCAAATGGTGCCTCTTTTCAATGCTTATTTACCATAGTTTCATAGAAACATCACCAAGAGTCAGTTAGTTCTTTACCCTTTGGGTTTTTTCCATCAGTAATCCTCTTGGCACAGGGTGGGACTGGGCTGGGAACAATATCATATAACTCTGGTTGCAGCTGTCCTTATGCAAACCAGCATATCCACAAGTTACCACCACCTTTTGGGGGAAACCAACATAACAGTGCTGGGGGACACAGCTTCAGGTTGCTAGTGGTCACTGATATGTACCATTGCAACTTGGAAGGAATTCTATATGTTGATACTTTCTTTGATTCTGTCAACCAAACAGCTTTGTGGCACACATGCTACAGTACTGAATGAAATACCTTTCTTTCCCTTGAGTCAAAAGCACATAATAAGCTATAGATTCTTTGCTGCTATGCCATTGATTTATCTACTGTACTTTGTAACCCAGGAGGGCTATGAATCATCCTTCCTAACTTTTCAGCTTCACAGAACAGGTTACTTTTAATACAATCTCTTCTTCATCTAGATTTATTTGTTCTGAACCCTAACACATTCTTAGAGCATTATTTCTTACTGAAGACAACTCTCCCTTAGTGTTTGTTTAATGATAATTTTTGTTCACACGCTCTTCCTGGGTGTCCTTTTGCCCTTTTTCTTTTTCCCAATGCTTTATATTCCTAGGAATACCCAAGTTATAAGTGGTCAGATTGCCAGCATTCAGCAATCCCAGGCAGGGGGCAGATTTTACTGCCTTTCTCTCTTCTCTTCCATGGGTTGCTGAACAGTGTTAACATTCTGATTTCTTTTAGTAGTAGAGCTCCAAGACAATCTCTTACCCTGTCCTTCTTACTCATTAACTTTAATTTCCAAAAAATGCCACTGATACCATTCAAACACTAGTTCAGGAATTACCATGGGCTGGGCACTGTACTGGGTGCTGGAGATACTGAGAAGAAACATGATCTGTTCTCAGGAAGCTCACAGTATGGTGAATGTGATCATTAAGGTCATGATTAAGCAAAGCAGGAAGTACTCCAAGGAAAGGTGAGCAAGGCATTTACAGGTATGCAGAGGATTGCTTGACCCAACCTGGAAGAATCCAGAAAAACTCATCCAAATCTGGGCACGGTGGCTCATGCCTGTAATCCCAGCACTTTGGGAGGCTAAGGTGGGCAGATTGCCTGAGGTCAGGAGTTCGAGACCAGCCTGGCTAAGATGTTGAAATCCCATCTCTACTAAAAATACCAGAAAATTAGCTGGCTGTGGTGGCGTATGCCTGTAGTCCCAGCTACTCAGAAGGCTGAGGCAGGAGAATCGATTGAACCCCCGGGAGGCGGAGGTTGCAGTGAGCCAAGATCATGCCACTGCACTCCAATCTGGGCGACAGAGGGAGACTCTGTCACTCGCAAACAAACATACAAACAAAACCCATCCAAGAGCCACAAAGAGGTTATGCTTGACCTGAACCTTAAAAGACAAGTAGCAGTCATGTTGGGGGAGTCCAAACAAGGGATGGGTTGATGTGGATACAGCAAAGGACATAAAGAGTCATGGCCAGATCATGAACGGTTTTGTCCCTTGGGCTAAGAAATTTGAGCTTTATCTTAAAGTAGAGGAGCCACCAATTCCGAGCTACAGCAAGGAATTGTAATATAGCATTGTATCATGTATGAAAGGACAAAATTCATGCTACTTTCCTAAAAGTAAGATTCTGTGTCCCCGTTTGCTTCATCTAATATTGCTTCTTGGCCCCAGCGATAGCACACAGAGCACCGGAAAACTAGTTCAGGCTTAGCACCAATTCCTGAAGCCAGTTTACCTCTCCAGGACACTTACAGCTATGACCTTCTCCAAGCTCTCCAAGATTGCTGTGCTTGTTCCATATTCTGGTCTGCAGAAGGTGAAAGGGTACTAATCATCCTGGAAGCCTTCCTGGAACAGGATCTCTTTGCACAGGGTCATAAAATGAGGGATCCAGATGGTACAGGGAAGTGTAAATGGCAGCTGGAGATGGGACAATAGTAAGAGCAGAGGCAGAGACACAAGTCAGCAGACCCCACATATGACATGCCAAATACAGGGAGTAGGGGAAGAAGTGGGAGACATGGTACAAGAGGTCAAAAGATTTACTGGTTCCCTGTATTACATGAGAATGTTACTGCACAGAGGATTACACATTTCCAAGTTGGAGACACTAAAGTACAAAGGTGTAAATTGTCTAAGCACAGATATGAGGCAGCGGCAAATTAGTAAAACAAATCACATGCCTGTTTCTAACCTGTTTGCCATGGCCAAGAAGAGTCTGTGAAATCAAGTTAGACATTCTGTCTTTGAAATAATGCATTTACAGAGCTTACGGAAGCTTTCAGGTGGAAATGTCTTTACTCTTAAAAAAAAAAAAGAAAGAAAGAAAGAAAAAAAAAACAGCTCAAGTAATGCCCTAATCATCTCCTATTATTGTTTGTATCTGCAGGATTTGGAAACTGCTTGGGAAAACAACTGGATTCCTAATAATCCCTGAACAATTATTTTTATTTTTTTCTGTGGACATTAGCCTTTTAATTTTTCCACAAGGAATTCTGGGCTAATAAATAATAACATAATTTTCTGAGTGCACGGTACTTTTGCTTCATCTGATTTCATGGCTTTCCTGCTCCATGACAACCCACTGTCTTTTCCCTCACCTGTATGTTTTATGATGGTTTTTTCAGGCACCTGAAAGAAAAGCTTTAACACTTTCACTCAAGCTAAGATGCCTCAATTTTCATTAGTGTCTTCATTGGCTAGGAGGTGTTACAGAGACTACCAAATAGTTTCAAAATTACTTGCTCAGTCACGATGCCCACAGTTGACTCTCAGCCTAGCAAAAGAGAAGAAAAAAGTTCTTGTGTTTACTGTCCTGAACATAACCTTACGCTAGTATGCAACCTCCTCAGGTCCCCTCAATTAGGATCACATTTCCTATTTTACAGTTATAATGCAATGGACTCTGCGTACTGTTCAATGAATATAGGTTTAATGTAATAGGTGTATTTCTGCAAATATATATGTAAATGAGGATTTTGCAAGCACCATTTAAAATTACCTGAGGGGTATTTTCTAAGTAACTGAGAATCTTTTTGTAAAGCAAAAGCCCTTTTAAAAATTAACATCATTCCTTATTTCGTGTGTTCTAAGTTGAGGTTTTCATGGACTAATTTCAAAAAATGATGGAGGTCACCATTCTTTTTCATTTGTTGAGTAAGCTTTACACCAACACAAGAGGCCATCACGCTTTGCCCTTAATCTTTACTAAACAACGACATTTGAGCATGTGGGCTACTGAGACAGAAAAGTTCCCCCATGAGTCAGCAGCCAGCCCCAGCAAAACATCTCATGGTTCCAACTAACTACCCCACAGCCTTTCACATTCAGTTCTGCTTTCTCAGTGGTCTCTAGGAGTCTAATTTCTGGTTAGGAACTGAGAAATTGGGTTGATTTCCACTTCCATAGGATAGCAAGATATCCGCAGGATGTCAAGGGGGCTGGGCCAGTACCCCAAGTTAGCAGTAGTGAAAAAAGTGGCTGAGCCCCAGGATCTAGAGCACATGAACTCTTTCCCACCTCAAACCCCCATTCCACCCTCTATCCCATGAGGTTCCAAAGGAGATGAGCAGAGAACAAGACCTGGCAAAGCGAGGTTGTTAATGGGGCTCCGACCTCAAACCCTGATGTCTCACCTTAGACTTATCTCCAGGAGTGGGGTCCTGGGTTTCATATTTCAAAAAGCATGGCATATTGGCATATGTTTCCCCAACCCCCAGCACCACTGCCAGTGGAATGCCTAAGGCCAGTGGTGTGCTGAAGCTGGCTTGTACCAGCTCGTGAGAGCTGATTGTTAAACTTTTTAAGAATTTTGCAAGTTGATTATTAAACACAGTTATTACTAAAAGTTAAATTATATAAGCTTAGGATTCAATAAATTACACCAAAAGCAAAGATGATAAATAGCCAAAGCTCACCACTTCCTAGTCATTTACTATTATCTATGTTCTTGAGGTTTTTACCTCTATTGTATCTTTAATGGTGGAAATAGTAAAATAATGTAGAGCTATGCATCTCTTCCTAATTCTACACTCAGTAACATTACATTGGAAGCTTTAAATCAGAGCATTTATACCACAGAAATCAACAAATACTACAAATCAGGGATTGATTTATTGTGGATTGTCTCTAGACTTAAGAAAATAATAGAGAAAATGTAAATAATGCAGATTAAACTTAAAATGTCATGTTTATAGTTGGTACACTGTGAATAGCATAGAATTTGAGAAAATATTCTTCTAGTATTTGAAAATTTTCTTATTCAGTAGAGAAAGTACTCTCTTCATTGACAAACAAGTGAACTTCTATGTCATTGTTGTTTTAACTTTTATCTTATTCTTTTGTGTAAAGGAAAATATCAACCAACATTCAGGTCAGTAACCTACTTATTCATCAACTGCAACCACAGTTTGGCTGCAAATAAAAGCGTTCTATAAAATCAGGTTAAGCATTCTGTGATAACATACAATAAGGAGTATTGTATGTTCTATAATTCTTTTAAGTTGTATATTTTACTACTTGTAAATCAGTAAAATTTATAACAGACTTATAATTGGTTATATATCCACATGCATTTCTTCTCCAAAGAGCTGGTTGTTAAATATTTACCGGCACACCGCTGCCTAAGCCAAGAACAGAAACAGGTTAAACAGCCTCCTGGGCTTCTATCCCATAGGTTCACACCCTTATCTCAGCTCTTTAGTTTACCATTCTCCTGTCAAGAAGAAAACAAAGAATAGAAACGTTTGTACAATTAAATCAAAAGGAAAAGAAATAAATAAGATCTAAGGCAGATAATTTAATCTGCCTAATTCAGCCCTTCCTAAGAAGGCCGCCTCTCAAGTAGGAACGGCTTGAGGCTGATGTGACCACACCTACCATGTGGAAAAGCTGAGAGCAATCCTAACAGATGGCAGCCTTGGCACTGTAGCCTAATAAATATTCTCCCTTTTAATGAGTCCACATCAGATGGCTCCTTGGGGACAGTGGGGGGAGAAGCAGGGAACAAAAGCAGTTTCTCTTGCTTCCTGGTGGGATCTCATACATGTCTGGGGGTACATAACAAAAGATCAGTGAGCATTTCTGCCTTCTACCAAATGGAGTACACATGAACATCACAGCTTTGTGTACAATTATTTAAAATCATCAATACTTGTATTTGAAAACATCTTTGTAGACTTGGAACCAACCCAAATGCCCATCAATGATAGACTAGATAAAGAAAATGTGTCACATATACACCATGGAATACTTTGCAATCATAAAAAATGATGAGTTCATGTCCTTTGCAGGAACATGGATAAACCTGGAAACCAGCATTCTCAGCAAACTAACACAGGAACAGAAAACCAAACACCTCATGTTCTCACTCATAAGTGGGAATTGAACAATGACAACACATGGACACAGGGAGGGGAACATCACACTCTGGGGTCTGTTGGGGGTGGGGGGCTAGGGGAGGGAGAGCATTAGGAGAAATACCTAATGTAGATGACAGGTTGATGGGTGCAGCAAACCAACATGGCACATGTATACGTATGTAACAAACCTGCATGTTCTGCACGTGTATCCCAGAACTTGAAGTATAATAAAACAACAACAACCAAAAAGAAAACGTCTTTGTAAAGGTGAAATAAAATGCAAATACCAGACAAATATATGGAATCTTTAAAAATCCTGTTACTCAATGGTGTTGTTTGGTCTTTAGGCCAATGCTAATAACCAATACTAACCAGTAAGGAGTGTCCTTTAGTGCAGGAAAAAAAAGAAAAAAGAAGAACGCAGTGAAACTTTAAATTTTTCTTTTTGAATGGCCAGCTCTGTCTCTCATTAAATCAGATGACTGACTGACCATATTATTCTTGAGCTCCTGTGCATGTACCTATTCAATTTTTTTACATACTTCCACAAAATTGTATGTTCTATAGTTTTCATGAAACATACCATGAGTATTTTCCATTTGTTAGTCTTATTCCCCCCTACACGTTCTCCTTAATAATTTTTCTCTTTAAAAAAGCAAACGTCCACCAAATATCTTTTATCTGAGTATCGTAAGGTAGAAACCTTGGGTATAAAGTCATTCCCAAATTAAAGGGAGTGCAGTTTTTCATTTATGAAAAAACACAACTGGGGGACATTTTAAAAAGGAGTCTTCAGGTTAGTTGCTTTTCAATGTCTTATTTACGGTATCATAAAAAATAAATATACAAGATGACTTATCTGGCCTCCAAATAAGAAATGAGTCAATGCTACCAGCATAAAATGTTCACATACCCACCCACCATAAAAGGGAAACTGGCCTCAGAACATCTTACAAAAAAGCATAATGTTATGGGCCAGTCTTGACAAATAGTGCTTTTACTTAATCAGTATGTTTTTGACAGCTAGGCACAGAACACTCCAGCAAGATTCCCCCAGTCCCTTAAAAAAGGAATGCATTTGGTGGGGGTCAGAATGACTCACTGAAAGGGTTGGAGCAGGGAAGAGTGAGAAATCCAATCAGCCTGGCATCCTTACAAGGTGTGAGCCTTGTGTTAATACTGTACAAAACAATTGTGTTGGTGATAGTAAGGATGAAGGAACAAGTGACATACTTTAAACTAGCAAAATAATCCGGGGAAAACCAAGGAGGTATTTCTACCTGCCAAGCTCTGCTAATTGCATAGAAAGAACATGTACTTTCAACCACAAAGACATTACATTTTCTTTTTAAAAATTTATTACTTTTCCTCCTCTGTAACTTGTCATCCCAGAGCAAAACTAAAGAACTCTTTGGTCATCACCCAATAACATGCCCTTTAAATAAGAACATTGAGGTATTATTTTCCCGTTTGACTCTTGATTATTAATTCACACCAGCTACCACCCCTTCATGAATCAGAAGGCTGAAGGAATACACTATACATTAATATTAAAATCTAAAGGAAACCAAATGTCAAATTACTGTGGTTTTAGCCACAGACATTTCTATGGCATGTGCAATCCCTGTAGAAGATGCTCCCGAGAAGTTCGACAGGCTGTGTTCACTACATCAAGAGAGAGCTATTACCCAACTCATAAAAATCTTTTTAATGTGCTGAACTCCAAAACTTTCTAAGAAATAAATGTTTTTAAAAAGGAGACTTGTGACTCTCAGCTTAAAATGGTGGACATCCACTGGTGCTTTGACCCTGCCGTTTGCCCAGAATAGCAGCCCCAGCTTGGCCTTCTCCACACCTTTGCGTGGTCTTCTCAACAGACACCACATATGCCAGGCCTCCCACCTGCAGTGGTACCCTGACCCTCTCAGCGTGCCAGCTGAGGCTTACATGTGCCCTGGATGGTTGCTTCCCGTTCACTTGACAACTATGAACAGATCCAACCTGGTGACCCAATGAACTCCACCATAAACTACTGAACCCTAACTGTTTAGACCATGGCTGATACAGTAATCAATATAGAAGCCTGAGGCCTCGGAAATGAAAACTATGGTAACCACTTCTGGTCTTAACTTGGACAAGAATCAACCTATTTATTAAAAGTAGCAGCTTCTAGGTCATTTTTTTAATACCTAGAGGCACTAAGCCCCATAAGATTCTATTTTTCTACTTAGAGGTACAAGTGATGACACTTAACATTAGTTATTTCAGGTTAAGAGCTGTCCATAATGAAAACAACAACAACAAAATCCCTCAGTACTTTCTGCACACTTACTAGAAAGGCACAAAGAGAGCCACTACAGAGAAAATATGAATTGATTTTAAAAGTGGTTAGGTCATAAACACATTAGCTTTAATACAGAAGAACAGGACCTCAGGACCTTCAGTTATTATAGGTGGAAAACACTCTTTGCATACAGAACTTCCAGCTGTAGCAACACAACTCAGAAGGCTATATATTGCAATGTAGTGAGCTTGAGCTTTGGTGCTGCACAGATCTGGGTTCAAATCCCAGTTGTGGCACTTTTGAGCTTTGGTCAATTTACATAATCTCTGAATTTCTATGTGTAATCTCTGAAATTCTATGTGGGAGGTAAACGTTACATCATCCATGATGATTGATAAGTAGCATACACTTCCCACATATAACTGAGGAAATTTAAAAAGATAAGCAACCAGTACAGTGATTAATTTCCCCCTTTGCTTCCTCATTTTATAGGTAAGAATACTGAGGCACAGAAATAAGGTTTTGCCAAGAGCACAGTAACTTACAAAGCTGAAATTAGGCTTAAAATAGTCTTGATTTTAAGAGTATGCAAACTTGGGAGACAAAGTTATGTACAACAACTAGTAGTTCTACTGGGAAGAATAACTTATTAAGTTATGGTATTAAGTACCATCTTATAAGTTTCTGATAAATACCATTCCCCATCAGACTGATGAGCTACTAAGTGCAATTTATGAGATTAAAAATTTAAATTTAACATTTTACATTTCCATAATACTTTATGCTTTATAAAGTGCTATAATCAATGTTATTCCACTTGATCACAAGAGTCTCATCTTTAAAAAAGGCTCATCTTTTAGTAATAGGAGTGACAGAATTTCATAAACTAAGAAATTTTAAAATATACATTTTAGGTATGAAAAAAAAAACAAATCATGACTAATTAATGATTTTGCTAAGTTTCTCAACTTTTAATGAAAACCCATTTTCCTTAATGGTATATATCATACAACAGAGGTTAAACTGAGAGATTTACAAAACATTCATTTTCCCAGGAAGAAAGCTGCTTGGACTTCTTGCAAAAAAAGCAAAGATAAGGATAGAATGTGAAAATAAAATTCATATGATCAAAGAAACAAAAGACTGCCATTAAGAGAGGGTAATAATTTTTCAAAATACATCTGCATACCTTATAGTTTCAATTAAATGGTGCTTCAATATTACAAGTCTAGACAAACTATATCCTCCCTCCAACCCTGTCTGCCCCCATCTCCTGAAACCAATGGAAACACACACACACACACACACACACACATTTTTGTAATATAAAACTAAGTAAAATGATTTTATAGAAAGACTATTGCCTTTTCTATTCACGAAAAGTTTAAATGTCTACTGAAATATACTATTTGCTGTACATAACTTACTGGAATCTTACTCCTTTTCATACTAGTGAACGTGAGCCATGGAGGACTGTGTTTTGGATGGGAAATTCCATCACTTATCTATAGTTTAAGTGCATTATCTGACTGAATACATCTACCCTGTATATTCATAAGACACCATAGCATGGTAACATGTCAATTTTTACCCATTTTCTCCTTTAAAGACACTGACCTAGTACAGATCCTAATCAACTTACGCTTTCATTATGGCAAAATCTTCCAGTTCTTTTCTGATGACTGCTATCCTCTCCCGGTTTTGACCTACTGACTTGCACATTATGGCCAGACTGATAAAAGTAAATCTGCACTGTCACTTCCTTCTTCAAAAATCAGTAAAAGTTTCCCACTAATAGCATCCCATTTAAATTAATGGTTAGTTCTTACCAGCCATACACTTGATTCTTTCACTTCTTCACTTCACCTGAGACAAAGTCCATCATAATGCAGTATGTGAAGGACACGTTTTCCTTGAAAACTAAGATTTAAGTGCCAATTTAACTTTTCTCCCACACTTTCACTACAATATATTAACTTACAGCACCACCTATCTTTCAATAAAAGCTTAACCAAGAACTAGATTTACATTTAGCATAATGCCCGTAGGCTGGCCGATACAATTTAGTGTAAAATTAAGCCCAAAGTGCAAAATATTTTTTAAAAATCTAAAAATGAAAGTTTCATTCAACACTATATAAAACACCCATTAACAGTATATATAAAGTTCTTAGTAATGTTTCAAACCAAGGGGTCTGGCCAGTTGTATACCAATGACTTAAATTTAGCACAAAATAGTTAATGTAACTAAAAATTGCAATCAGTGAGCAGAGCCATTCTGACTTATAAATTCTAATATTCATTGATATTTTCACATCTAAGTGTTGACTGGAATATGTGTTGACTTTTCCTTAGAAGTATTCCCAATATTTTAGTCATTTTCTCTGTTCAAACAAGAAACAAAA